TAGTGATGGGCATAATCGACCAATTTTGATAATCGAGTTATCGGTAATCGAGTACTTCTAATAATCGAGTGATCACTCGAGATACGAGATATTGGTCGTTTTCATCCCAGCGGCGCACAAATATGTTTGTATTAGTCATATATTACTTATAAGCGTAGCTAAAAAAAAAAAGCTCACGCACTTCAAAACCTAACCACTTTTTCGTTTTATTCTAAAAAAAGGTTACGCAATCAGTGACTATTTGCAGTATGCACTAACATTTTGGGGTGCAACCGTAGGGTAATAATCACTCGAGTGGTGGGAGTAAACATCTCGAGATATCTCGAGTGATCTCAATAATCGAGTACCACTCGATTTTTCACTCGAAATCTCCCATCACTAGACGAGAGTCCTAGTATCGCAGATCGCAGGCAATACACGAGGAGCTCAGTAAAAATGCAGTTCTTTCCATATATGTATCCTCGTAATAATGATGGTGAAAGACGACGTGGCACCTAACGTGGGGCTCGAATGTCAAACGCCAAGGAAAAATTATGAAAAACGACAATATATTATTTATTTAACTCTACCTGTAATGACTCATGCATTTTTGAAGTGCGATTAAACATATCAATTTGTAATTATGTGGTGTGGGAGATTAGAAGGTTTATTTGATCATTATATTACTAATGGGTGCAAAGGTTAATAGATATTATTAATGCTAAACCGTTAAAAGAGTACAGTTTTGCGCTTTAAGAAAACAAGGTGAAATAATTTTTGGAATGTGGAGAATAAACGGTATCAAACCCTATTGATGAACGAGCGAAGTAGATAAACATTGGGGAGTAATGCTAAACTCTTAAACTATGTAAATAACTAGTACATGCCTATGAAAATCCTTTTTGCCTCGTTTTCATGGAGCGTAACAGTCCCCGACGATTATTTTAGCCCTGGAATTTTTGGAACGAAGGTTAACTAATGCTGGGATTCTGAGATTACTTTGGAAAAATTGTAATGTTTAATTCTAGTGGTTTATTTTGATTTATTAAATTTAAAAGTAAAATGAAACAAAACATAACGCATAAACATATACAGGGTGTCTGGCAAGTATATTGCATACTCTAGGGAGTGTATAGGGGAGGTCAAAATAATCCTAGTTTGTCATAAAAAAAAATTCCTAAAGTACCCTGTATAACACAAACTACTCGTATGTTTTTAAAAAAATAGAAACAACTTAGATATATAATTTAGCTATAAATATACACACAAAATATACAATTACAAAATTTAATATACAAATTAATATACAAAACATAAACAAAAATGATATCTTTAAAAACAAGAAAAAATGTAAATGTGTAATTTTACTTGTTTAATTATTATTTATTTTTAACAAAATGAAACAAAATACAACAAAACATCTATACACAAAATATATCTTTAAGAAATTAAAAAATAATCTGACCTTTTCCCGAGATTAGGACTTTTAGTTCTGATATTTTCAAGATTGAGTTTTTAATCCGGAGATTTGGAAACTTCCTGTACCTCTAATACAGAATGAGTCAAATGTAACTCTGAATAAAAAATTTAGAGGATTATTCTACTCATACAAATAATGGTATAAATTTCGCATTTTTTGAAAAAAAAAAAACAATATCGGCAGACTTACATAAGTTATTTTTTCAATTTTTTGCCATATCAAACGATTTTTAAAATTTGGTACATTTATTGCTGATAATGGAGAACATCTATGAAAAAAGTCGTTAACGATTAATATTAACAACTTAGAAGAAAGTAAGTTGTAAGTGATTTTTAAGGTCATAATTTGAAAAATCGCTAAGAGTTTGGATTAATTTTTCTCACACTAAGGGTAAGTTAAACATCTTAAGGCTTTAGAATTTTAATGAAGTTTTTTTCGTGTAATACAAAAATGAGAACAGAAAAAAGTTATGGCAAAACATTTATTAAAGATTATTTTGTAACTCCCTCAATATTGAGTTTTCGAGAAACTATCGTAGGAACTTAACATTATTATTATGGACAGAATCGCCTTTAATTTTTGCACTCGTAGTTACAAGTTACCCTACACTCTATATATAAATAGAGATAACTAATGCTATACCGTGATATAATAAAAAAACATTTTTTTTTGTTTGTAGAACTTAGAAACAGTGAAAGGAAATCTCCGTTCAAAAGCAATTTATAGTCCTTCAGAAATACAGTGGAAGAAAATACAGGAGAACTATAGAGCTGAACCTTCACTACCTATAAACAGATGGAGATGTCACTTACCAGTTGTAGTATAAATATATTTATTTGAAGATTGTATCTTAATTTAAAGTTTTTGTCATTTTTGTCGAAAACATTGCCTTTTACGAAAAAAATATAAAGAGACCAAAAAGGTTCTAAATTCAATAGCTTTCTAGCGGACTAAAATTTTTTAATAAATTTGGATATGCGATCAAATTTTTTTGGCTCCGAAGACAACGGGACCCACGAAAAAATGTCTTAAGGGAGTTCCACGCCAAAAAGCGTAGTGCTATCCGATTCCACGTGCAACGAAACCCCTGTGTATCAAATTTGGTGATTCTTAGATATAAAAAAGGGCAATTTCAGGAGGGGCCACTTGGAAAAAAATAAAAAATACGGGTCTCTTAAATTTGTCTTAAGAATCTATGTCCAAATTTTGTTGCATTCATTTCGGGACACCCGCTATAAGGTTGAACGAAATAGGTATGAAAAATTAATTTCCTAAATTGATAATGAAACTGAGCGTAAAAATTGCTATTGAATATATTGTTAATTGTTGATAAGCAGCCAAAAAAATTTTAGACTTAATAATATGATTTAAAATATATAAAATAATATATGGGGATACGAGAATTTTATTTTCATGTCAATCATTTTACGCATGATAATTTGAAAACTGTATGCTGTTTTGTTCGGTAGTTAAATATACCTAACTTTTAAAATTTTCTTAAAATTTAGTATAGAGGAGTAAGCTCCCTACTCCTTTGGCTGTATCCATCCGTAAATGGTTTCCCTCTTAAAGCCTGTATGAATCACCCTGTAGTTATGATGCAAAATATAATCATCATGGGAACGCGATATATAATAACTTTGTTATGTTTGATCTAATCATAATTGTATTTTATATCACGTAATAATGATAATGCATAATATACATATTCTATAATCCTTTTAAGAAATGTTCAGCGACGGCTTGCGAAAATTATACCTAGTCATATTTTTATAATAAAGTGTAGGACCGTCTGGACCGATATTGTTTTTTAGTCGATGATTTCTGGGCAGAACTTTCGTAACGACAAATTTCGACTGAAATTTCAAATGTGATATGATTTGCAAAATATATATATTTTTTTCATAATCAACTGAGATAGGTACATTGTATACAAAAATATTTTACATTTTAATTTTTTATTCTGCAAATTTCATTAACATTTTTTATCATTAAAGTTCCCTATGTGGCGTAGAAATGAGATCATCCCCTAAAACACGGTATGAAATCCATGCTTCATTATCAAAATACATGTGACCATTTTAATTTTCGCGAGCCGTCACTGAAAATGTACCCACTTCTATCTGCCTCATGATTCGTTGAAAATAATTGCGCCACCTTTTCGTATAAAGATATTGGTTTTGTTGTCTGTGGTTTTGTTAAAGGTTCAAAGATCATTTTCATTTTTATATTTATTGTGTCTGCACTGTCTGCTATAACCTCAGACTACTTTATTACTTTGAGGATAGGCTAGGCTGACTAGGCTCTTAGTTGTCAGTTGTCAATTCTATCGCATAATTCGCATCAACATCAAACTGTCAATGTCAAATCATGGCAACAAAATAAATTGTATTTACATAATGAATGAACAGTTTTGTGAATAGCAAAACCAGCAAAACTATTAATCGGATTACAATCAAGTATTATCAGTAGTAATTATTGTTTACCGAGACTATGCGTGAATAACCCAGGGACATTTAATAGTTTAGTGAATTTTGTGATATTGATTTGTATGTTCAGTATAAAATAAAACGAATAGAAAGTAAATTTGGTTGTATTAAAATATGACCGGACAAACTGTGAACGGTTATGCCGGTAAGTAACAAAGTAATATCTTTTATTAAGAATACTGTTTAGTAAATTTTTAGAAAGTGCAAAAGATTCAGAAGGGTCTGATGATTTCCAAGAGGTTCAAATTCCTGTACCTTGGGGTCATATTACAGGTAAAGTTTATTTACTTTAAACATTACAGTAAAACTAACCTTCATTCAATTAGGATTATCGTTATCAAAAATCAATTAACCTTCAAGCAATATGCAGCAATGGACGCTCATTATTTTTAATTGTTGCTTAATAGCGGTTTTACACAATCAAAAAATCCATTAAGGACTTGGTCAATTTATGTCAGTTTCATACTTCTCATAATTGAGGTTATATTTACTAAAGTATTTGTTTTATTTGAATGAGGTTGAGAATGATGAACATAAAAATTTGAATCAGCTCTACTTATTCCTACAATTTCTTCATGAATATACTGTCATCAATAAATTAACGACAGATTTGTGTTACGCAATTACACATAATTAATTCAAGGTTGCACCATGTAGATATCAATTTCTTTGACTGTAAAGCTGATGTAAGTGTGATATTTTTTAAATTTTTTACACTACAATACACTAATGAAAACATGAATATTGGATTAAAATATGAAAGAAAGTTATCATATTTTTATTTACATCGGGATTTGCATTTTTTACAATTGCAGTAATTTTTGTGAATCAATGCATGGCTTTAACATCCATGCAACATGCAACATTAATTTGCACTAAGTATAAAATTTCGTAGCATATTAGAGAAGTCACTGGAATTAATTGTTTAAACAAGAGGACCTTCTGATTCATACAAAATTGTACACTACAGTTGAAAAACCTGAAATTTTTAAATTGCAATATGCTGCAATTCTATTTTATGAATTCTTAATTGCTAAAAATCATAATTTTTTTTTATGAAATTTGCAATTATTAATATGTACCTATCTACCTACTTATTTTTTCATTATATAAATATTTTTCCTGAATAGAATGATGAGTAAAACCAAAATAAAAAAATGTTAATCACTTCTCTTCATTCTGATGATAAAAACAATTAAATTAAAATAATACTAGATTTAATAATTATAAAATAGGTGCATTTTTTAATGGCCGTCTTTTCACAGAATATAATTCAGCAATTGAAATGCTGGTGACCTTTAAAAACTAAATTTTAATAATTAAAAAAAAAAACAACAAAACATTTCATTCTGTTGTTTAGGTAATTTAGTTTAACTTATACCATACACGTGAATATTTTATTTCGTAAGCACTGCGATGATTTTGCCTGTGTATTACAAACCTTTTAATTTTAATATTGGATTTATTGAAACAGCACAAGGTGAATATAAAGCAGAAGAATGATTAAGCAATATTTTTAATGCAATTAAAGCCTTTGTTGTATACAGGATATGCCACTTAACATTCCCACTGCCGTTTCCTTAGGAACCAATATGTGCCTACCTATTTGAGATACTACTGGTCATAGGCAGTAGTAAAGGGTTCAACTCGATAAAATTATCATTTTCATATTTGTAAATACTTTTTTTTTGCAAAGAAATCCGGGCAATAAAAAAAATGACTGGATTGTACTTAACATAATTATGGTAATTCAGTTTTGGACGTTTTTTTTCTATTCATTGACTGAAAAATCAACCTTTTGTCAGATATTTGTAATTTTAATTAATTTCTTAACAAGAATAATGTTTTACAAATAGTTTGTTACAAGTTTTTGATAGAATTTCTTTTTAAACATTTTTGCACAGTTAATCACCTTTAAAGGCCAAAAATAAACTGGCCAATAACCAAATTGCCATGGTTCAATCATAAGTGAATTAAATTCTATTTTTAAGCAAGACGATCCATAAACCACTGTCTTTTTAAAAATAATACAGTTTGTAAACTAATATAATAAAAGTTACTCTAGAATGTCGAGAAAAGCCATTAGTTTATTTTTTTTAATATTCCCCAAGGACCTAATATACTATTTAATATAAATATAACTGCAGTATATATAAAAAGAAATTCAAAATCATCGAAGGTAACAAACATTTTATAAAGAGAAAGAGATTTGAAGGAAAGAACAGTGGTACACTATGCATTTTATTTATACAAGGAAAAGAAACTTTCATTAAAACATTTACTTCGTTACTACAAATTTTAATAACTTTAATCAATGAATTGATTAGAAATAAATTATTTTTAATGACAGGATTGTTAATTATTTTAGGAAAATGGTGGGGTTCAAGAGATGTGCAACCAATTCTAGCAATTCATGGTTGGCAAGATAACAGCGGTACATTTGATAAACTAGCTCCAATTCTTAGAGAGAAAGGACTGTCTCTATATTGTATAGATTTACCGGGACACGGATTTTCTTCGCATTTACCGCCAGGGCAGAGTTATTACGTTTTTTGGGATGGTGTTCATATCCTACGAAGGATTGTGAATCACTTTGGTTGGAATGACATTAACATAATCGGACATTCGTTAGGAGGAGCGATAGCATTTTTATATGCTGCAGTTTATCCAGACTGTGTAAAAAAGTATGTTAGTATCGATATAGCAAGTCCCAGTATAAGAAACATAAAAAAAATGTGTGACATCTTAGGACCCAGTGTTGACAAATTTTTGTCTTATGAAACTAAACCTGTGGAGCACATGCCGTGTTATGAATATGGCGAAATGCTTGATTTAGTTTGTGATGCCTACAAGGGTTCTGTTACTAGAGAAGGCTGTGAAGTTCTGCTTAAACGTGGAATGAAACCAGCCACACATAAAAAGGGATACCTATTTACTCGAGATCCGAGACTTAAAACTGCTGCGTTAGGGTTTATGACAATCGACCAGGTAATGGAGTTGGCGTCTAGAATTACATGTGAAGTTTTGAATATTAGAGCATCCTCTGGATTAAAACACGATAATCCACACCACTATGACATGGTTTTAGATACCATCGAGAAACAAGCGAAAAAAATGGAAAGGCACGTAATTGATGGAACTCACCATTTACATTTAAACGATGCTGAAAGTATCGCTCCTTACGTTTACAGCTTCCTTGCATCATAATATTTATTTGCTTTTTAGGTAATTAGATACAATTAGAAAAAAAGTGTTACTTGATAACAGGGCTAGGAAATTAGTTAAATTGTGATAATCGTTATTTATTGTTTAATTAATTTATTATGTCATTATTTATTTATTGACAATATATAATTCACTAAGAAATGTTTGATTAGGTTTACTGTATTCCAAAGATTGTTTTGAAAAACAAAACTTAGTTAATAACATTTTCCAGTAGGTGTCACAGATTGTACAGGAAAAAATTCTACAGCACAATAATAAAAAAGATAAATAAAAAGGTTGTTCATATCAAGAGAATAGAGATATTATTAGTAATGAAAAAGTTCAAAAGTGAAATTTATTGTTTATTTTGCTTATCTTATCTAAGGTAGGTACATTGCTCAGACTTTATGAATTATATTTGACAATACCGTTTTTCACGAGTCATTTATATTTTATATATTATTTAATTTTATAATATATATTTTTAAATTGTAATTACTTATAAACGAAAATTAAAATAACACTTTGTAATTCATGTTGCATTGATGAAATTATTAAAAAAAAAACTTCAGAATATTTTTTTATTACTTTTACAATAAATTGAATAAATACAGGATGCTTAAAAAACGTGCCATAGGCCATAGCTCCTGAATGTTCCACATCTAAAAATCGAATGAATTGTAAAAAATTTTGAAAATATCAATTATTAAAACAAGTAGACAGATTGGCAATGAAATCATTTTATTAACTGACTTTTTGATGGTGCTGCTATGTAAACATGTAATTGCATAATAAATGTATCTTGATATTTTTTTTTTTCTTTACTGGGTATTTTCTCACCTAAGACAAATATTTAAATGTGAAACATAAATTGTGCCAAAAGAATCAGTCAAGTATTATTTATATGAAAATAGTTTTACCTAACTAAAAATCTCACTGAAATAAAACATACAAATACAAAATACACAGCACTGTATATTTCACTCTTCAGTAAGTTGTTGACATGTTTTCATTTTCTGAAAAATTAGTGACGGCTGATTTTCGTTTTAAATTATTTCTGACAGTTTTTTAATAACAGTTTTTTTAAATAATTTAAAATCAAAAGTCATCAGTTCTGGGGACAAATTCAGATTGATTTTTGATACTTCAACATCTTATTGTATATGATATGTATTTACTTGACCGATCCTTTTAGTGGAAGGATTTATTTCATATAGAAATATAAATATTCAATATAGAGAAAATATAAATTATTCCACAAATAATTATCTTCAGGCAATATCTTGATACTTTTTCGATTTTACTTTCATTACACTTTTTCTTAATGGATTGTCTAGTTTGAGAATTATACAGGCTGTCTCCTAAAAAACGCCGCAAGCCATAACCGTTATTTATAGTCTGATTTTAAAAAACAAAAAATTAAATGAAATGGCCCTAAATACACTATAAAACAAGCCTATTAGAGCTCATTTACAATTTTTTTTTTTTTGAAAAGCGATAAGTATTTTTTTTTTTCAAATGGGAATATAGTTTTTTTGTTATTTATTATTGTGCAGATTTATTTTCTGAATCCAACGATGTATATGAACTTTACTTTTGTAAAGCATTTATTACGACAAAATATTAGTCGATACCGCATTCGGCACCCGCTCACTGATTTATATTTTAGCTAATCGTCTGTGCCATGGAAAACAAAAAATAATACAGCAAAGCAAATAAAACTCAAAAGAGAATTTTGTAGTTAACAGAAAAGAAACAATAAAATGAATATCAATTAAAAGAAAAATAATTTACCTAAGTTTTTCTAGAATCTTTATAAATGTATTCTTAGAGGTAAAGTGCCTTTAAAGGTATCATCAACATTAAATTCACATTGTAACATGTTTTCTTGAACATGCAGGATAATATTTTATTTTTTAAAAAATGTCATGGCCGACTAAATATTTGGAAAAATCCGTATTCAGCCAATTCAGGTGCGTGTACCTCTATTGCTATTTATTTTACAAAAAAATTTTAAATTACAAAGTTTCAGTTTTTTTGCAGTGTTAATAAGACAGCGTGATCAAATTGTTTGTGTACATTTTCGTTTTCAAGTTATAACATAAACTACAAATTTTTTAAATGTAATCAATAGTTATCTATAAGCTAGAAAAAATGTTTTTTTGTATGCTTTCCAAGGATATAATATTTGGTACTGTTACTTTGAAAAATGGGAGAAGTGCAGCGGTTTGTAACTTTTCAGTTGCTCGTTAACGTAGATGGCTGTGAAAATTATACGCAATCCAACGGATAAAATCAGAACAATTGAAGTTGACATCGCGTGAGCACCTCTGTATGTGTCAGGGCACCGGAGCAGTGTGCGACTCGCATATTTTAAATAAAACAATAATAATAAGACGACTGGATTTATTTTCGTAAAGAATTTAAATTATAATGATGGAAATCGCTTGTGGTAAGTAAATGAAATACTTAACAGACACAAAAAATATCAGAATTTTATGAACAAACCATTATTTACTTTAAAGATATTAAAGAAATTGTTGAAAAAGCCCACCGTCGTTATTAATGCAAGAGACATCTTTTTGAAACAGAATTTGAGGTTTTTCTCACAGAACGCGTATCGATATTATCAAAAGCTTCTTGAACGAATGTAACACTCAAAAATATCACGGTTTTCCTCGTCTGAAAAATTCATTGTATTTGGCAATCGAAACGACTTTTAATAAAGAAAAGTAACTCATATAATGCTACAGTAACTAAAGGCGTTGTCAGTAAACATTTCGATTGTTCTTCATTTAAGTTTTTTTGTATCTCTACAATAAACATTGAAAAAACTCGCCCTGTATGACTCAGCAATGCAAAAACCCTCTTGAAAACCTGTTCTCAAGAATCTCAATTGACACGGACTCACTATAAATTAATTTACATGAAACAGACTTATTTATACTAGAATTTTCTCATGTCAAAACAATTTACATGAGAGTCACGAGTTATTATTACTATATTACTCAAATTTTAATACTCAATAAATGCTCGAGTGTTGTAAGATTAGAACTTGACAGTATTTAGCACCCTACAATTTTTGACAAATGTAATTGATCAAAGTTTTGCCAAAAAAGAGAAGCTACTATATACTTTCCACTTTACACATAACAGTTATTTCAAGATAAAAAAAATAAATCAATTTTTAAACTGTGTAAAGGCTACTATTAGTTGAGTATGTTTCATATTTGAAAGATTACTTTACCAAATATGTATTTGGTATTTGTCATTTACTAAATGTTTCAAGATACAAGCTATTCTTTGATGTTTGAAAAATTTGGTATAAAAAAGCTGTTTATATAGTATATATTTTATTTTTTCAGTAGGATAGTGGGACCTCCAAATTTTTTTGTCTTGGAGCCTGTTGACTTGTAGCTACACCACTAGTTGAATAGTTTCTTTATCCATTCCTTTAAATTTTCCAAATCTGAACTGTAGAAAGAACGGTATAAAAAAAATCATCAATATTCTTTTGCAAGAAAAACTATTTTGAATTGAAACCTGTGAATACTAAATAATTTTGTTTACCTTATGCTAATTAATTTTTATTTTCACTGAAACACGATTATTAAAATTATGGAAAACATTTATTACATCTTAAATAATTTTAGGCAACAGTACTTGTATTTTAAATTATATTAATAATACATTTTAATCCTCATTGTATGCATATTTTTTTAAAGATTATGCTTCAAGTGCCACAGGTTCCTTTTCTTTGGGTTTCTTCTCCTTAGTTTTATCTAAAAAGGAACATTAAATAATGTTAATGTTGTTAAATAAATTCCAATTTAAAAACAAACAATACATTCCATAATAATTATTCATATACGTTAAAAAAAAAATCTTTTAAAATATCTTTAAACTGGTTGTCAAAAAGGCCACAAATTATATATCCATTATATTTGATCTAAGTTTAAAAAACAAAAGATTATCCTCAATGGCTCCAAAACTGTTACAAAGTGACACAATTTTTTTTAAATGCAAAGAGGTATATTTTTATATTTTTTTTATTCAATTTTTTTTGTCGATTTCGTAATATACTTAAAGTATAAGCTTAATGGAGGAAACATATGTGCTGTCATGTATATAGAGATCGGCGAAACATGACGCAGATCTCAGGTCTTTACGTGGCCAGGTGCCGACGAATGTCCAGTCATGAAATGACATCAATAGCAGTGCACCCACACTCGCACAATTCATACAGTGCAGGTATCTGGTGTATTCGTATCATTCGCTACTTTTTCAAACGATAAATAAGTAGTGAAAACAAATTTCTATTTAAATAAATACAAACAAATACATTCAACAAAAAACAATGATTTAATAAAAATTAATTCCAAAATTTTCTTTTTATTTCCTTACATTCTAATCGTTAATAAATAATTAACAAAAATATAGATTCTATAATTGTATAAAAATAAAACATAATTCCGTTAAACAATCTATTTCATATATCTACTAAATAAATACTATTAAGTGAGCTACGCATAACTTGCACCAGGCTGGTACACGGTTCGCAGTGGACTAAGAAAACAAGGGATATTTTTGACACAATTCAACCAGCTCTGCATGTATGTGATAATATATTTCTATCTTAAATAATATTTACCTTGATTTTTGCTTTTATGGCACATTTTACAATCTTGTAGAAACGCTCAAATTAATATCGAGTCTTTTGCCATACTTTTTTCACACATTTTTCACAAAAATCAAGATGTTATACAACGTTAGAATCAGAAAAAGATTCCCTACCAAAAAAAGTTAAAAAGTATATATTGCTCTAATTGAAAAAAAAAATTGTAATTATAGTCTTTAGGATATCAATTGAAGAACCAAGAGGATGACAGGTTCGGTCGCTGACACAGCAACTCGGCATTGAAATATTTGAAAAACTTGTTCCTATATTTATTTAGCCATACCCATATACAGGTCAAAGAATGGGAGCGCGGGCAAACGAAATCCAAATACAGTTGCATTGGGCCACTGGGCAATAAATCTCAGCCGTTGACAAGTGGTTGGCAAATTGCCCAGCAGTGCAGTGCAACAATACGGAATTTTAATTTATTATAGGCACCTTCCATTGATATTACAATTGTGAAAGGGAGAAATAATATTATTACAACATGGCATTTTGGAAACCTTTTGAAAAGGAACAAAACGAAATTTACTATCAATATAATAAAATTGTTTGAGGATATAAATATATTAAAATATGTTGTTGGCCAATGAACATATAATAGAAATTGTCTGCACATTATATACAAATTATTATAATTTTTTACCTTTATCAGAAAACTTTTTTAGGGACGCCTATAAAACTCATTAAATTTTATTGCCAGGTGTTTTTTTTACATGTTCAACTGACATCGGAAAGACTATATCATCTAATATTTTTGGAGACATTAATGCAAATCTTTTATTTTTTTATTTAACTGGACGGAAAATGGTCTACTTAATTATAGCTTGCGGCTTTGGACAAAATAACTAATTTTCCCTCTGTAAGACAACCAGTAAATGGTGCACTCAAAAAAAGGTTATGGGCTAGGGGGAATTCAAATAAACCATACAAAATTTGCCAGGGGCAACGATAAATACCATAAACAAGTAAAAAAATAAAAGCTCCAAAGCGAGCAATAGTAATTGTCTTAAGCCGTACAACTAATCAAAAACGGAACCTAATAAAAAGTTATAAAATTTTCTAATTTAATAGCCTTTTTGTACATAGGCTGTGGAAGCCAAAAGCTGTAAACGCCAAGGAGGGTAGTGCCACTATCACTAGAGTATGAAAAGTTGATTAAGAAATCACCAAGTCATGTTAATAATAATAGGATCATTTGATAAGGTGAATAAATTATATATAAAATAAAGGCAATAATGGCCAATGGTAAGCTAAAATATGTGTATCGGAATCATAAAATGGATTGTGTATTTATTTTATAGTTAATTTTGGTTAGGTTACCGGTAAGGGGGTTAAAACCTATCTCTCCTCAGTCATTAATACATATTATAACCGTACCTTTAACAGGTGATTGTTCAGTGAACTCTTTATCAACCACGGGTTCTCCAGACGGTACTTCAGGCAACTGTTCGTTTATAATATCTGCTAATTCTTGTTCCACTGCTTCTTCATCTTCTTCTGTTAATCTACCACTTAGAAGCGCGTTAATTTCCTGTAAAACATATTTATAGGTAAGTCCCTACTACATTTTACAATTTATAATGAAACAAAAAAAAAGTAAATAAATAAAAGGTGTGCTCATTATAAATGAACTTACATTCTGCTTATCAATGCTCTCCCTGGTATCTTCAAGAATATTTTCAATATCCTCTATATTCAAAGCTTCATTAACCTTTTTAAGAGCCTCATTACCTTTCTTTAATCCATCAACAACCTGTAATTCTACCTGAGCAAATTCTATATCATGAGTTAATTTTTCCAAGTTGTCTAACTGTACATCAGTTTTAGTTAGTAGTTGTTCTTGGAAACGTTTCTTCTTCAGCATTAATTTTGCTCGCCTACAAAGTATGAAATAGGTATTTAGTCTTTCTATACAGATTAATGGATTGAATTTGCTGGTTTGTATTTGCTGTGATCCAACTATTATGTTCTCTTGTTAAAAAATGTACATTAATAATTTTTTAAATATTAAATCAATAACTATAAGATCAAAATTAAGCCATGTTTATTACAAACCATATAACTATAGTAACTGTGAAAAAGTAAGTTATTGCAATATGTTTATTAAAATTTAGTTTTATCTTTGATGTCTTGAGTCATATGCAAAAATAATAAAATTAAAATACTTACTCTTTTTGGCCTTTATTTAATAATTTTTTGGCTAATTCTTTATCACTATTTAAAGTTAATTCTATTCTTTTCTGATATTGTTTTAACTTATCCCTTTGTTGTTTTAATTGCTGTAAAATAAATATAATACATATATAACCTTAAACTATAGTAAATTAGTATTTAAATTCATACCAGTACTGCTTTATCATGTTCTGTTACTCGAGATACTTGTTTCTTTTTGCCAAATATTATCCCCATTATTGTAAGAAATAAGAATATTCATCAAATGTAAATATTAATATATCCTGAAGAACAAAAACATTTTACATTTTATCTCTTCTATCTGTTACTCCGTCACTACTGTCACCATATGAGTATTGAGTATATTTATTTAGTCATATGACTGTCAGGAGTCTAGTCCTCTAGTCTACCGTGTTTTGTTATGACTTATGACAGCGTTTGTGTGAGTGGTCAGGGGCATAGAAAAAAAAAGTCATATGCGGGAGGGATGTGCATCTCTTTTCGTTACATTATTGTTTATGAGAATTTTACCAATACATAGAGTTCTATATTTTCTGTTGCTAACTTAGGGCATAACTGGAGGCAGCGAGGCAGCGTCTCAGTAGCCGAGAGTGCCGAGACGCCGAGAATATAGCGCACAGATTACTAACAAGAAAGTATAGCGGAGGTTTAGAGTGAGAGGTATGTGCTAACTCTCTCTCTAGCAGCACGCGATTGCATGTTGCTAGCAAGGACCCGGACCTTAATGTAATAACGGTACCGGTCCCCCCGGACCCGACAATATACATAACACGACACTTAAACGACTACCACACAAGGGCCTCATGGCCCTACTAAACATAACAAACGCGACACTCAGA